TCACCCGCAAATATTGGAAGCGGTACCTGGCATGTCCCTGGCCCGCACATGGTCTCCTGATTTGTATATTTATTCGAACGCATACAAACTATGATGAATTTCCGCGCGGGCTGCCTCAATATCATCCAGCAAAAACAATAACGCTAATAAAAACGTAAAGCGCGAATGCAAATGAGAATGTCGTCCAGCAAAACAATAGCGCTAATGAAAACGGAAAGCGCTTCCAAGTATACAAGAATAATACTACAAAAAAAGCTCCATATATATATATATGTATGTATATATATATATATATATTATATATATCTTAAAATATATGTTTTATATATTTTGTAATATGTTTGATAATTCCTGTTGTTTTTTTAACAACAGAGGTAAATAGCAAAAAGGTAAATAGCAAAAAAAACTTAAAAAATAGTTAAAATAGCTTAAAATATATATGTTTTTAAACATTTAATCCTATTTTTGATATTTTCCATATTTTTTATATCTTTCCTCCCGGGGTGCCAGAGGTTCTGCCTGCAAAAGAAATTCGGTTGGGGGAGCCTGCTGTATGAGGCCCGGAGATTGTAAAGCAAGAGCCACAACGGAACGGAAAGACAATACAACGGAACGAAAGGAATGTGAAGCGGGACAGACAAACTATAAAAATGAGCGTAACATATAAGACAAACAATGAACAAATGACACGTAACCGAGGGAAGGTAAAACAAAACGGAAAACATTAGCACCGAAACAACCAAAAACATAGAACGGAACGAACAACGAATAAAACGGAGCAACGGGAACATAACACGAAACGAAAGGAAGATACAACGGAACAGGATGAAGGTAGAACGGACTGTAAAAAACGGAACTGATAGAACGTAGCAAAAAACGGGGGCAAAGTAACACGGGGAAAAAGGGGGTAACACCAAACGGAAGACGAACATAAGGTAAAACGAAACTGAGGGAGGGTAAACCAGAACGGAAAAGGACATACAACGGATAGGAAAGAAACTACACAGGAACGGAGAGAGGGTAAAACGAAACGGAAATAAAACGTGGAATTAACGGGACATAAGCA